TAAGGTTCAACCACACCTACATGTACAACTTCCTCCCCACCAACATATTTTACCTGAGTTCTTTGACTTTACCTTTTCAAACTAATCTTATTCAGCTGGACTAATCATATAATTCATAGGGTCTGTTAACCTCACATCCAGACTACTACAAATGCCTCTTTACTGGTCTTCCTGCCATCTGTATTTTTCCATTCCATTCCATCCCACACAGTGCTGCCAAATTAATCTTTGTAAAAATATTCTATGATCATTTCACTTGCATTCTTAAAAAAAAACAAAAACCTCAACTCACTTCTCATTCCCTATAAGATAGAAGTTCAGCTCCCTTACCTGGCATTCAAACTAATCCATTCCCTGGCCCCAGCATACTTGTCCAATCCTAAATTCCTCTTTTGCCTTACTTAAGCTAATCATCTTCTTTACCATATCCCTGTATGCAATATGTGTATTCTCATCTCTTCACCTTAGCTCTTATTACCTGGAATGACCTCCTTGCCTCTGCCTGCCAAAATCCTATTCACCTTTCAACTCTGATTCTACCACCAAGAAAATTAGCATTATTTCAACCAGAAGTGAGCTCTCCCTGGAATCCTATAGAACAGCTTGTATTTTCCACTCACAAGGCACTGGTTATATATGTATGTGTGTGTGTATATATGTATATATTTAGATGTACATATGTAATGTAGTTATTTGTGTATAATTCTTATCTTCCCAAGCAAAGTGTAAGGTCCTGTAGGACCTGGACTTTATCCTGTCTTCCCTATATCTTATAGCATCTGGGATAGCACTTTCACATGATAATTTGTCAATAAATATTTGTCGATTGATTTCAGAGGAGATACCACTAGGTAACAAACTGAAATCTGTACATACAGATGATGATGGTGAGGTTCAAGAAAACAACCATCAAAAAATCCTCTCTTGCTCTTAATGAGTTTATTTGCTCTCTTCTTAGCAGAGATAATTAATTTAAATTTTATCCTTTAATGGCATGCAGTTCGTTATTTTTAAATATGATAAACCAGTAAAAAATGGAGTTGCTTAATTAAGATATTCTCGCATTGTTCAGTACAGTACAGGATGAGTCATGAAGTTAAAAACCTACATGAATATGCAGCAAGATTCATTTAATTGGTTTACGTCACACCCTATTTTTTTTCCTCCTTTCTACTTCTCATGGTCTACTTCAACATACTATTTAAAGCTACTATTTTAACTGAAATTTCATAAACTATTAACATGTCATGACCAAGATATCCCTTGGAGTTACCACTTTGTTTAGACAAGAAAGAAAGATTATGGAAGATACTTTGATATTTCAGAGGGAGGCAGGATGGCTTAATGGAAAGAAAGCTTAGGGACAATCTAGTTGTGTGATTATACTTATGGACAAATCACAACATCTATGGACTTCAGTTTCTGCACTGTAAAGTGTAATGACACTTTATCCACGTCACAGAGTAGATATGAGGCAAACTTTAAAATGCTATATAAATGTTGAGTTGTTAATGTTATTATTAACAACAATGCTTTTTGATCTCTTTGGAAATTCAAATCTCTTTGCATTGCTGAGTAGATGGGTAGCATTTGGACAGCCCCTGCACTCTGTGACCCTGCAAGGGATGGGGAGGGAGGCTGGATAAAGGATAAGGAGAGAAGCCATTTATGAAGCTTATTTCCTTTGGGAGGTGGGAGGAGGGTTGGTGGGAGTGTTGGTAAACTGATCTACATGGCAAATGCAGCTTAATAACATTAAAATGCAGCATTAAATCAAATGACAAATATATAATGAACAATTAATCAGAAATATAAACCCAGAACTTACACTGATCTTAGGCAAGATTTGCCAAGGTTTGTGTGACAGCGAAACAATAACAACCAGGATCAAACTGCTGAGGATGAAAATCTGACGTTGAATAGATAATAACGAATAGATAGTAACATCATCATCTCACTGTTTGTGCTAAATTCATGCAATTTAGATTATTGAGAGAAGCTAAGAAGACAACAACTGACTGCCACATTTATTTAGAACATCCCCTAATTTAGTTCCCAAAAGGAAATTCTCATTCCTATGACTCAGGTCAAACAAAAGAAACAGAACTCCCCCAAAAATGCTTTAGGCAGTTCTTTGAATAACAATAGCAGCTGGGAGATTGGAATGTGTTTACTCAGCGTACAACTCCTTCTAGCATCATGAGACCCTTTCAAATTCCCTCCCCCCTGACCAAACAAAAATCCTGGTAGGGAATCCTCTATAAAATGTGGGATAAATATTTCCCCAGTGGTTGGGTTTCTATGATTGCCACTATGTTAGCTGAAAGTTAGGACAATTTCAACTTTGCCTAGAGGCTCCAGGCTGGCCTGACAAATGTTATTCTTTGGGAAACTCGTCACCTGCCAAATGGTGGAGCTGGTCTAAATTCCTAGTCACCTGCATCTCTTCCTTCCCTTCTTTAGAACTGAGAGGTTTTCCACAACTGATAAAATATGTGTGTGTGTGTGTGTGTGTGTGAATGAGAAAATTGTAAAACGCTATGTGAATGAACAGATGTCTAATTCAATTCAACAAGCATTTATTAAACCCTTACTATGTATGGGCAACACTGTGCTAAGTTCTAGGGATATAATGACAGTGAAAAATAGTAAACACAAACCCTATAGACAAATTTTTCCAGAAATATTCATAATTTGATCAATAGTTAAGATCTTAAATGCTAAAAGCTCTTGAATGCAAAATCCCTAAACGAAACTATTTCTGAAGTAGAAGTCTCAAGTATTAGTTGAAAAGGGAACTTCCCCATGACAAAAATCAGTGGAGTATGAAAGTATTTTATAGTTTTATATCTACTTTCCCACTGCAAAAAAAAAATAGGGTTAGCCTATTTACTTTGATTTAAAAATGTGTTATTGTCTGCTCTTTAATAAACTAGACAGTGGAACTAGAACTTAAATTATTCTAAGTTTATTCTTAAATGTCCTTAAAAAAAAGACTGAAGGCCTTAATCCTTACTTAAAAAGCCTTTATGAAAGAAATTCTAGTCGATGCTGTCGTTGCAGCTGGACCCGGGCTGAAAGTGCACTTCCATTTTTATGTTTAGAACTGAAGAACTCTAAAGTTAGAGCTAGCACTCCACATAAAAGCTTTGGAAATGGCATTCTTTGGTCCTCCTGCAATTCATTCTTTTTAAGAAAAGGAAATGGAAAGAAAGGTTTCATGTCCAGGGCTTCAGGCCTTTGATCATTTGATGAACACTGGATCCTCAACCTGGGCCTCAAACTTCTCAGGCCAGACAAAGAAGGCCTAGGCCTCACAGGCCGGGCCTAGATTCCTGTCAGAACAAAACCTTTGGCTGCCTCACAGTGTGACGGCCTGGGAAAGGCCCACCTCAGCAGGGCTGAGATGCCCGCTCTGCCCTTTGATCTTTCATTTAGACTACATCCCAAGCTCCAGGTCAGGGGATTTCAAATTGCACACCCCATTGGCAGAGGGGAGCCGGTCAAGAACAAAATGGGGGAGGGGGGGTGACCAATCTTAAAAAAAAAAACTCCTTCGACTCTTTTCTTTGGCCAGTTTCACATGACTTGTTTTGTATTGTGAAATACTAAGCCCACACTTAAAATGGAATTTGACATTACATGGTACAATGGAGTCAATAAATGGCATTCTTTAGTGCTCTTACAATAAGTCAACCCTTCCTTAAGTGGCTGAAAGCCTGAAGCTGGAAAATACTTCTCTATGATACAAAATTGCATATATTTAAACTTCAGGTTTCATCATATTCTTGGTGAAAACCAACATAACCCAAACAAATATTGAGATGATGTCAACATCTGTTTCCCCTACTTCTGCTCATTTTTGTTTATAGTGATCAAATTTCCACTTGAAGCAATTATCTATTGAGGAGCTTATGGAGTCACATATTCTTTCACAAACACACACGTGACACATTTAAACAAAACAATCCATATTCTCTTGGAATTTTTCTTTTCTTTAGTAGATGTTGGGGCGGATAACACAACTACTCTTCACGTAGATAGTAATTTCTGTACTTCAACAACTCTGTGGTTGCAAATGAAATGATGTATATTTGAGAGAAAAAAAAATGCACTTTCCTAGATAGAAATACTGCTCCCCCATCCAACTTGTTAATAAGTAACATAATGCCTCTTCTTTTGTGTGTATAAATCCCCAAGACTAAGCTAATTCTGAACACTTCAAAATGTTATTTGATGCTGCAAAACCTCATTTCAACCTAAGGCTTTATTATTATTCTCTCCCCTGACCCATGAGTCCTGGTAATAGTCCCTTTTCTGTACTGTGTGACCTCAGTGAACCTCTCTGGGCCTCAGTTTTCTCATCTATAAAATGAAGGGACTGAATTAGATGATCTATAAGGATCTTTCCAGCTCTAGAATTATTTGATTCTAGGATAGATAGTAAATGAACAAGTTTCCAAAGGGCCAAAAATCAAGAGACATTTATATTTTAATGGGTGGTGGGGGGAGGAAACCCTCATAGTGCTACTATAGACTCAAATATTAAAAAAAATAATGAAATAGTTTAATTATTTACATGGAATAAAAAAGACTGACCTTAGAGGTCATCTAGTTGAACTCAACCCTATTTTACAGATGAGAAAACTTAGATTATTATTAGTAGAAATTATTAGTGTCACTGACCAATGGAGATTATGTTCTACTAAGAAATACGCTATGTACCAAAAATAACTTATTTTTTTTTGGAGTTAGTTGAATGTTTAAAAATACAAACTCTGCATTTCCCTCAATGCCAAATATAATATTGTCCTATGTCCCATTAACAAAGAATGTACTTTAAAAAATGTGTGGCAGATAACTTAATATGATTCAGGAAGGGGGAGTACACTCCTCTAATTTATTCGAAGTCCTTCTGTGAATATTGCATCCTATGTTACTATGGCAACACGACCACATATCTTGGCCCTGACAAAGCAGCCAGGGCTTTTGAATCTCACCTTTGGCCATCTTATTGAGAACCATGTCAATCAGCACGTAGGTGCCGCTCCTTCCCGCGCCATCGCTGTCAACAGAAGGAGAGAGAATGAACATGCTATCTGTCCACAGGAAAGGCAGCAATCATTTATTTTACCCATGTTATAAGTGGGGACAGGGAAAGGAAAAGTGAGTGAACCAGAGGAAAAGAAACAAAGAAAACTTGTGATGGGCTTTAATAAGCTCAAGCTGCTCATGAAGGATTAACTATTGTTCTTCATGACTAGGTTTTCCTTGTCTGTCTTTTTTTTCCCCCTCTCCGAGGCCAAATATGGTTTTGCGTTTTAGCAAAAGAAAATTAAAGAAAATGCCAACATTGCCACATATAATAAGCACAGACTTAGAACTCAGAAAGATGAGAAGCAAAAGATGAAGAGTTACCCAGCATTCTCAGGCAAGGCCAAAGTTTTCATTTGAGTATATATGTCGGATAATTGTCATGCTGATTTTTTTGAGGGGGGCTTTTCCTTACTTTTAGATTTTTTTTATGCCACTTTATCCCCTCTAGAAATGGAAATATCCATGTTATTTGTTTCTTAATCATGGCTTTAAAAAGCTTTCTCATTTCATTTCCTCCCCCTGAACTCCCCCCTTCCCCTGCCCCCACCTTCTATAATTGGAAAATTTACCATCTGGACTAGAGTTGTAAAAATGTTTTGAATTATGCCTCAACAATATCAAATTTTTAAAAAATGAAGATGCAATTTAGAGGACAAAAAATATTATTAGCATCATTAGTTTTGATATAGAAAATGTTAAACTAGTTATTTTTTCCACTAAGTTGATGTCTCGTTGAATGCATGTGTGAGAGACCCTCTTTAACACAGCCAACAGGATCACAGAAAGAGAGCTATAAGGCACTTTGGAGGCCTAATCCAACCTCCTCATTTTCCAGATGAGGAACCCAAAGCAGACAGAAGTTAAGAGATTTGCTTAGGGTCATATACCTAGTAAATGTCTTGGGTGGGATTTGAATTCAGGGCTTTCTGATTCCCATCCCTGCAGTCTCTCTGATTTGCTTCATTCCTAACCTGCTCAGCTTATTTATTGATCAAATGAGTAACATATGCAAAGTGCTTTGCAGACTTGAAGGAACAATACTTTGTGTTGACCGAACTACTGAATAATTGTTAGAGTTGACTTGGGATGGATAGCTTTCAAAGAGAAAGTGTATTAACATTTAACTTTCCTGCCTCAAATAAATTACTGATTTAAAAAAAAATCAGCAGCCAAAGCAAAATAAATACAAATAAAATTAAAAAACAAAAAACTAGTCATCAGAACAAACTTCCCTAGATAGCTTCATTCATTACATCATTGAAGAAGAGCAATCTCTAACCCTTTTTGGTGTCATGGACCACTTCTTAGAATGTTTTAAAATGCATAAAATAAAATATATAAGAATAGGAAGGAAACTAACTATATTGAAATACAGTTATCAATATATATTTAAAGTTCACTCATCTCAGGTTAAGAATCCTGCTTAAGGACTTGCTTTCTAAGTAATTTGATCCTTCAGCATACATGCTGTCGTCAGAGTAACATATTGAGGTGTAAAGACTATGTTACTTGTAGAAGAAAATTAAGAGGCTGAGATTATCACTCTACCTCCCCTATGGACTAAAAAATAAACAACAATGAAAACTTGTTTTTGAATTAGGTTGGTGGGCTTGGTATCATCTCAATGGACAGGCTTTCTTGCAACTAATTCGCTTTAAGAAACATTGCTTCAGTACTTATTATGTTTAAGGAGCTATGCTAGGTGGTAGAAATAATTCTAATACTTTGATGGTTTCTAAAAAAAATATTAAAACTTCTTTTCTCTTCCATCACAACTCTAACAGGAAAAAAAGTTCCTAATAAAGAGTATGAATTATTTAATAAAAGATGATCCAAAATTTAGCTTGTTAGTTGAATCAAATACAGCAGAGAAAGGAAATGTCAAATTCAGATATCCTTTTGACAACCTGGTTAATTTCATTTCTGTAGTTTTAAGTTAGTAAAAATAAGGCTTTAAAATAGAAAGGCAAAGCTCTAATAGCCAAGTTGATTTCCATGAAAACATTCATGGTCAACCTGGAAAACAATAAGATGGGCAGGTGGTGACTATTCAAACATGCCTCTAATAATGGCCAAATGCTAGATATATACACATATGTGGTGGTGTTGCTGTTTAGTCATTTCAATTGTGTCTGACTCTTTGTGAACCCTTTGCTTGGCAAAGATAGTGGAGTGGTTTGCCATTTCCTTCTTCGGCTCATTTCATAGATGAGGAAACCGAGGCAAACAGGATTAAGTGACTTGCTCAGAGTCACACCTCTAGGATGTGTCTGAGGCTGGATTTGAATTCAGGTTTTCTTGACTCTAGGCTTGGTGCTCTATCTATTGTACTACCTAGCCTCCCATAATACATATGTGTGTGTACATATGCATGTGTGTATATATATGCATATGTGTGTGTGTATATATATATATATATATGTATATATATATATATATATATATATATACACACACACACATATCGAAATGATATGGCTTATCTGATTGCAAATTGCAAAATAAAATGTCATCTTGATCCAACTTTTTTGGTCAGATACATTAGTGGAAGAATTAGATACATCTCAGGTAAGATTTAACAACAAATTATAGAATGGTCACCATAAGTATATCAACACAACTTTCAGTAGCATAAAAAGAACATAAAGCTAAATTGCTATCTCAGAATTTTCTTCAAAAGATACACTTAAGTATGTGCTTATTAATTTGCTAGTAATCTCAACTTTTATGTTTGTTTTTACAGCTTTATGGTTTCCTAATATAACAAAACTTCCAAGCACATGTTAAAAGTGATACTTGCCTGCAATGAACAATAATTGGACAAGAACGTCCCCTGTAGCACTTGTTTACTTTTCTGCAACAAAAGAGAGATATCAAGTTATAATTATAATCTGTTTCCTCAGATAATAAACAGAGTAAGCCAAATCAACCATTCTATATTCTCAAACTCATTTTCCATTAGCCAGTTTTGATAAAGAAAACAATGACACCCACAATTCCCCATGGTTCGATTTCCTTTTTACAGTAAACTGAAAAGCTAAACAAAATTCTTGTACATTCACAAAGATTTTACCTCTGCAAAGGTGAACTCAAGTAAGCAGATCTATAAATAGTCTTTCTGATCAATGGATCATCCATCTAGCTCCCGGCCTCTTTTTTTTCCCCCCTACTTCAGTTAATCTAACTTTTTGTTATAGGCTCATTTTCCCTATAATACATTGGAATTCTTGTGCTTTAGAATTAAGGCTCCAACCCCCCCAAACACTCCCATCATCCACTCATTTCTGTTGAAAAAACATGTTGCATGGATATATTCTCAAGAGAAATCCTCCTGTGGACTTTTTACTTGATCATGTGGTAAGAATGTTTTAACCGAAGAGAAAAAACAATGCTGTCAAGAAAAAAGCCTTCCATTCTTGAAATTTGAGTGTATTACCAAACCATTTTCATTCTACAGATTTTTGGCTAGTTAGTCTCAGAGATAAACAATAAACACATATCAAAATTTTGTAACAATCCCTGTCCCTCCTGGCCCAAATAGGAGGGTGATTTATATTCCTTGTAAAGGACCCTCCAACATTTTGTTTCTTTCAGCAGACAAGCTATGGAATATCTAAAAAGCAAATCAAGTTATTCAGAAGGGTATTTTCAAAGGAGAAAATAAGAATCTAGGTTTTTTGGAATAAAGAAATTCATTCCTCATCTGCAATGTGTAGCATTCTTTTATCCTATGATAGAAAGTAAAATTGGGGAGAGGGGGACAGTAACATGGGAAAATTTCCCTTAAAGACAAAATGAAAAGGCTTTACTTTTTCTTTTCAGAGGCTGTATCTACAAACAACCGAAATAATACATCAAAAAAGTAAAAAATCAATCAGTTGTTTTATCTTCAGGGCATTAAAAGAAAGGAAGAGGTGACTTTGATTTTTCTTTTCAACAGATTAACTGATTTCTTTCTACTGAATTCACCATATATTTTGGTATCATACATGGAGCTTGGATGCCAGATTCAATGGCATTGTCACATCCATCAGTGTTCAGTGGGAGAGGCCTACCTTCCCCAAGCTGCATAGTTTTAAGAGGAAGGACTTTGGAATGACAGACATTTTGAGAAAATGTAACATACAGTGGGAAAACCTGGATGTGAGCATTAACCAGACACCTGTACTTCACTGTGACCACTGGATATGAGGTTAGTTCCCTATTCTGTTCTGACTCTCCACCAAAAATGTGAAAATATGTAATATACCTATGCTTAGAGATCACAGAAAGTGGAAATAGTAAGGAAAGAAAGACTCAGGACACAAGTTACCAAGTACCCTAATAGTTAAGCTCTCTCACTACTATACTATCAGGAGATTTTTTTTTTAAGTTGCATTTATATTTGGGATTTGGGAGAAAAGATGATAAGCAAGAAATGAACACTTATTCAAGTCAATAGTACTCCTGTGCAAGAGTACCATAAAAGTACTTGGCTCTTTGAGTATAAAATGGACTGAGGAAAGTAGACCCACTTCTAAAGTCTTTCCTCTCTTTTTTCCTCACTCAGGTTACTAGGGCATCATGAGTTCTACTTCTGATAAATAAATTCTAAACTACCAGAATGGCTTCTGAAGTGGAAAGACTGCTGGGCCCAGCCTACTACATAGGCTAAAATGGATAAAGTCATTTAGAACTTCTTTTTGGTGATGGTGGTATTATTTTCTTTTAGCAGAATCAAGCATGCTTACCGTTAAATTATTCTAGAGTTGTTTTACTTTTAAGGGGTTTTCAACTGCAAATGAAAGCTTTTGCCATATATTTCTGAGTAACTGAATCTTTTAACATGATCAGGGTCACCACCTCAGCTTTGCCTTCCAACATCTTGTGATATTTCATGTTTGACAGCCTCATCTATGTTTTGTGGAAGGAAAACTAAATGTTTATCTGCAGACATACTGGTAAATGGCCAGGTCTTACTGCATTTTTCAGATGGTGCCAAGAATGCTCAACAAAGGCATAATTAAAAAGAGATAAATAAAATAAATATCCACCCTTCACCAAAATGTGTAGGACACAATTAAAATGTAAGCAGCCATGAGACACAACAGTATCACAGTGTCCAATTTACAGTTGGTCAGCCCCTTTCCCTCTTCCCTGGGAGTTCTTTAACAAGACAGCCTCCCTCACTTAGTAATGCTGTTAAAAAGCTAATTACTAGCTAAATATGTCTGTGATTTGCTTTTGCACTCCCGTAATTCCTTTCTTCATTCTATGGCATGTTTAAAATGCTGTTGTCTCTAAGCATGTTGTGACTGGCTGCCTCTGCAGAGTTTAGAAAGGCTTTAGTGTAATTTTAAGAAAAACCTCTTCTAACCCTATTTGGGGGGAAAGAAAAAACCCAACAACTCACAAACAGCCAAAGAGACATGTTATGTAAATACCACGTGGCATTATTTTCTTAGCATTTTATTTACAAGAGATCCAAATACTTATCACAGCTTGAAAAAAAGCACAAAGGAAAACCTTAAAAGCAGATTATCACATATTCCAACATAAGGTTTTTCATCCAGTTGACCTATGATATATCATCTACTGATAAGTTATGAAGATAAATAAGCAATATTCAAGTATCCCATTTCATCCCCGGTTTACACTATTAGAGTAAATGGAAAATTCACCCATAAGCAGAAGGTCCCAAACATTAAGAAAAAAAATGATAATTTTTATTTTTAGATCTATACACAGGAGGAATTAACTGAGGAAGAATGATTAGTGATACAAACCAACCCATGGGGTCATTGAGTGGAAAAGAAATCATCATGCAAACCATCAGCAAGCAAAGGTCAGAGGTCGTTAGAGGCTCAGAAAAGGGGTTTCCCACATTGTCCCTGCAGCAGAGTCACAGTTTCCAATGATCACTTTTGTGACTATGCAACTGGGCTCATATTACTAGCTGCAACATCACAAAAATGACACCGGCAACCGCTAATTAGCTGGCAAAATAAGAATTTGTCCATTTTTAAAGTGAGCAGGGTTAGTAGATGTCATTGCACACAGCAAGAAGTGATAGCATAATATATATATTTTAAGCAAAGCCCTCACATGTGATGCTAATTATCTTTTAGCTTAGCAGTTTCTCTTTAAAGTGTAAATGTGCTCCCTCTGGGCTCAGAGAAATATTTAATTACACATATCGGTGCATGACTAACAAGCTAGTTCAGAGCTAGAATGGTTGGTCTATTGTTCAAGATGAAATTAGGATTCTAGTAACATTCAACTGACCAGTGTTTTCAGAAGCAGCCTCACCTCTTCCAACTCTGTAATTTGTGTGCTTATAAAAAAAAATCATCGCAGCATCTCATGCGTAAGTGGGGTACAGTCTTAGAATATGAGCATTTAGGTCAATATTCAGCCTAATCTGGGAAAGCCATAATTATCTGAAACACAATTCGCTAAATAAGTAAAGAAATAGAAAGCTGATTTCCAAATGAAACTTGAAAAGCTAGGGGTTCTAGAATTTTTGTTGTTGGTTTTGGTTAGGGTGGTTGTTTTTGATAAAAAGTCAAAATAAAGGCAACTTCTTAGTACCATATCTCCACAGACTCTGGAGCAAGGGAATTTCGGGAATCTAACTTTTCTTGATAATGACATATTAAACATTGAGGGTTGGTTATGTATATGCTCAATTTCATATATGTATATGAGTGTATAAACATACACTCATATGCATATATATATATACACACTGAATGCACATTAAGACATTGATATTAAGATGAGTAGCCATCTTTATTGAGCTATAGCAATATGTCCATCAAGTATGTTTTTTGAGGACTCCATCCCAAAAAACTTACTCTAGGTAAGATTTTAAATAGCATGTCTTAGTAATATTTCCTCCTATAATACAATGAATTTACATCATGAAAAGCCATAAATGGACAAGAAATTAAGACATGAAAAGTAGCAATTGTTCATATGTGCTAACAGATTTTCCTTTTTACCATGCATTCAGTATTCTTGACCTAGAATACACAATTTGGATCTATAAGTAAGGTAACAGAGCAGCAGAGTTGGCTTTGAATGTGTGCTATATGTACAGTACCAAATTTGATTTTCTTGTTGATCTCATTTACACACTATTTGACCCAAGGCAGTACGCTGCATTTTTCTTTCTTAAATAGAACAATGAGCAAAATCAAGTACATCATACTTAGAATACAAGTCTAGAACTTACAAATTCAGGAAAACCCAAGTTAAGGCTGAAAGTCTATCTTTACTAAAATACCTGAGCTTTCCACCTTCCCCCGACCCAAGTTACTCTAGAATCTAGGATAAACAACTAGTTATCTCAGGATTGCACTGCGTAGACATACAATGAATGCAATTCAATCTTAATTCTTCAATTCCTTAATTTCAATTTTTACTTGTAATCTTTAATATTTCTTTAACATGTGTAGATAAATTTAATTGAAACGGAGGCAAGATCCTACAGACTTCAGGGCTGTGTTGAAACTACGCACAATTTTCAGGTTACCTCTCCAAGTTATCATTGTATAGTAGCCAATACCAAGCAAGAGCTATAGATAATACACCTAATATGCTTTGCAATCAACATTTCAGTTAGAGATTTTGTTTTCCTTATCGATTTTAGTGTGAAGTGAGTCTAGTCAGGCAATTCAGTTAATAAATATTCAAAAGAGTCTCCCTCTTTCACTGGGTAATTATCAAAGCCCTGAGGATGGGCAAAAGGCTGAGTAATTTTTTCAAACTGTCATTTTCAAGCCAGTGTTGTTGTTGTTATTTTTTTTTTAAATAGACACTAGTCCATGCTGACTAGACTTATTTGGAATTTGCATCTTCTTTTACTCAGGAATGAATGGCTTAGAACCTGTACCTGGATCTTGCATTCTTAATTCATTTATAATTCTCATATTAAACTCCAAGGAGCTTGGTAACATAGATAGACCAAAAAGAAATAGGCCTTATGTTGTCAGAAATGAAAGACAGACATGGATAAGAGTGAATACCCAGTAAAACTTAGAATTGATGACCACACATCCACTGAGGAATCTTACATAAAGTAATTATTGCAATTATTACTCCTTTTAACCAGTGACCAGACTATAGATGCCTTAATGTGTTATTATGTACTTTGTTGTACCTGCGGAAATCCAGAAGTGATCTTGTAGAAGAAGGAACTCCCTGGTCATACCAACTAAGGAAATGGAACTGGGTTACGGTCCGGGTTTCATTGGTTTGAAGATTTTTCAAATAAAAGCTTCTCACAAGGAAATCTTCACACCAGATGTGCTCAGACACCAGATTTACCTGGACAGAAATTATAATTTAGAGAAGAAAAGAAAGAAAGAGGGTAAAAGCATCATAAACCTAAAGCACAATTCAATAATACTTAATTGGAGGTTTGCAGGTGTGGGGAGAGGGGTACACGTGTCAAGTATGAGTTTTGTAACCTTACATAGAGCAGAGGAATCAGCAGACTGCTATTGTCCTCTTCCCTGACCAATTAGAACATTGGTACATGTGATTAAAGTATCATATTAAAAAAAATCGACTGGGACAAAAAAAAAATGGTCACTATTCAAAATTATGTGTGAATATTGCCTTTACAGTTTCTGTGATAGATGCCTTGAAGAAATATCACCAATTAATTAAAATGGTTGGCCAACAAAAATAACCTAAACAGATCTGGTCAAACTATTCTATGTAACGTTGAATTTCACCTTAAATAGAATAGCACAAACCTTGATTTAGAGCTGGTAAACTCTGAAAATAAGAACTTCCACATGAAGACCCATAAATACAAGTTTAACTAGTTGCATAAATATTAGTATAATAGATTCATGGAATGTTAGAGCTGGAAATTAACTAGGCGATCACCTAACCCAATTCCCTCATTTTATAGGTGAGGAAACCCACATCAAGACAATGGGTTAGTATCCTTCAAATTTAAGACAATATCCCTAACACAATAGACAATTAATCGCTCACCCTTTGAGTTCAACCCTAAAAGCATGCCCTCTGGAGTGCATAGTTCTGACTCACTATTGTGAAACTTGGTTATTTTGGACTTTAATAGAAAACAGTAGCAGAGGGGTGAGTCTATTTCTTTCTTTAAATACTTAAGCTTACTTGGGCCACCCTAAATGTGCAGAAGAAACTTGAAAAGGAATGTCTAGCTGTAGTTCCTCTCCAAATATAAAAGTCAAATAATACATATGCAAAACTCTAAACAGCACTGTGTTAAGACTACTTTACCAGGGTGGAGGAATCAATAAATCATTAGAATAATAGCAGGGCTTCCCTTTTAAATGAGACTATTTTAAAGCCATACTCCATGGGGCCTATTTAAATGGACTACCCTGTAGAGGTAAATATTTTTACTTTTTACTTTTTTTTTTGGTCCAGCATTTGTATTTGTCAAAATTTAGCAATGAAAAAGAGATATTATCAAAGACTTCAATTACAGAGCTTTACACAATACAGCTATTTTAAGAGCTTGGATCTCTATTTATATTGTGAAAATTCCTAGAAAATGCTTATCAGAATTGAAGTTCCCAAACCAAGGAATATTTCATTACTCTTCTCCTTCATAAAAGTGGTTTGTCATCTTCCAGTTGCTTTCACTCCAAGAGGAACTCAAAGGATTTCAGTGTTCTTGGAGGAGGGCTGCTTGCATCCTTCCCAAATGCTAGTTTATGGTGAGTCCCAGCTTAGGTCAAAGTAGATTAAGTAATATTTGGCTCAGGATGAAATCAATCCGCACATTTACTGTCAATTTGACAACCAGATCTATTTGACTTAAGTACCTCATAGATGTGGTAAAGGTTGGACCCTTCATCTGGCCAATAGTGGTAGCACTGCTTGACTCCGTTTTCCGTGAGGGGTGTCAGCATGACAATAACGACACAGCCGTTCTCCCAGACCATCTGCAGACAAAGAAAGACACCGTGGCCACACTGTGACTGCCTAATTACCGCGTGACACGTATAATTACTGCACTCAGAGACACAATCAAAATTTATTCCATTCACAGGAAATTTATTTCATTTTCATTAGACACTTTTACTCTGCAGCTGCTTTCAAATCTCTGAATAAAATGGGACCATATTTTGCATGCTTCCATGAGATATTAAAAAATTTCCAATGAATTCATTCCATGCTTTAAAAAAAATCTCTGTTCTATGTTCAGCTGTTTGGCTTTCCAACTTTTGATCTGGGAAGGAAACTTTCTATAACGCTGCATAAAATATACAACATAGTAGCTGATGTGGCATGGAGCAGAGGAGTCGCTGCCTTCTCAATGTAAAACAAACAAACATTTGACACTCCTAGTTTTGGGTTGTTGAGATTTTCCATGTCTTGAAAGCAGTTGGCTCGGTTGGTTTACAAAGAATCATGATATTTCCAGACAATCTGAGGCTAGTTCCCAGGCTGTTTCTTTGAAAAGAAAAGTGCACTCAGAAAACAGCATCAAAAAATTGTATCTCTTCTTGGCCATACAAAAATATAATACTCTGCTGTGCAAACTACTGCAAGTCCATAAGAAAGGAAATAATGAGTCTTACTGAATGGATTTAACAATTTGGGATAGCCACCTATAGGAAAAATAAGTACCAAAACACACCAAAGAAATGACTGTATAGAAAGGCCAAACCCAGCAAAAATGGCCCTATAGAAATGCTCTCCAAACACAGCTTACAACTGTGTGAACACCCGCCTAGGAGTTAATACTTAACAACAGCATAATCACTAAAGACCATTATTATTATGGGTATACTGATGGTATATTTGCTGACTTTTATTAGCATATTAAATTGCAGACAGAAAAGGAACCTACTCTTTTTTTTTAAACAAAGGGTTACATTAACTTCAGAGAAATATTTATAAGCAACTACATTTAGATGTAAATTTAGTAAACCAAAAAGCCCCCCTATTTCTTTTAAATGCACAGAGATGATAATCCAATTAGGTCCTCCCTCCCCTCCACCCTTTTTTTTTAAAGCTACAAAATATTTCTCAAATACAAATTTTCTCTTCATTGCTCATTCTATTAAGCCCTCCCCTTTAAATTATATTTTATAAATCAGGCACATGCATAATATTTTCCTCCTTTAATATTGATTTATACTGCCATATGATATAGTCAATATCCTTAAGGCACCTCATTGTGTATCATTTAGATTGGAATTTAATGTAAGCCAGTGAAGTATTTAAGGAAAAAGTCCACAAATAAATGTGAATTACACTCAGTCCCATTTCCTTCTTGCAAATCTAACAATAAGATAAGAATTCAAAACATGTGTCTTACTTTGAGCTACCCAGGCTTTAAAACTAGTTCCACTAAATCGGTACTTTCATCACATAACAATTTAATGTGCCTTCAGAAGGTATAGAAGCTCATTGAAGCCATTACGAAAATGAGGAGAAACACAGATTTTATGAGTGTAATAAAAATACAATGATCTAGACCATAAACTAATCATCTAGCACTCTGCTTGTGCCACCCAAGTGTAACATTATAAAGCCCACTCATTTAAAGAGGAATCCTTACAGTTGGGCAACATCTTTCATTGGTTCAAACACACAGCATTTCATTACAGAGGGTCTTCCTGGCTCTCTAAAGATTTGGTTAAGATTAAATCCAAATGAAACTTAATTTAAACAAACAATTTCAAAGGCACTCTTGGGTGTAATATATCTTTTTAGGTCACTGTGCATAAAAGCAGAAGGAGAATTTTACTAAATCAAACAAACAGGAAGCCCATATGGGTATCAATACTGCTATTCAGTTCATGGGAAGGATTCCATTCCTTACTATTTAAAACATTTCTTATCAACAGAAACTGGAGCCTGCCCTAGGACTGAAAGTTAGAGCATTTCATTATATTTTTACTATTTTAGGATGTAATTGAGATGTTTTAGAATATATACAACAAATAGTTTTCTCATTTGGAATTTGGGAGAATGGAAGATGCCAGTTACTCAAAAATTCTGGTTAATTCAGTTAACACATGCTATCCCCAGGAGTTCTTTCTATATCCTTCCTCCTTGCTGTCATCCAATCTTGCTCTCTTTCCTAAGACCTAAGGGTGAATGAAAGAGCAATGACTTACAAATGCAAATTATTATTGCAAAAAATTCCTGAGACAGAAGATAACTTGTTTTTCTCTTTCAGGAACTATAATTCAATTCAACAAGCAATTATTAAGCACTTAAGACATATAAGACATTGTGTTTGCCACTCCTACATCCTTCTCACCTTGCTACCCTTGACTGGTGAGAGTTCTTCATATCCAGCCTGGTCCCAGACCCACCATGCTGCATTGTAGTATTCTTTTTTCATTTCTACTCTGTGAGTACCCATTCCTCCTCTTCACTTTCCATCTCTTGCTCAGTAATCAAGTCAATACTACCATTCCTGGGAGGATCTGTTAATTCATTACCTATGATTCTATTTATTATCCCTGTGATTTCCAACAACAAAACACCACTGCCTGGCCACCACTCTCATATACTGTTTTTCTCTATTAGAATATAAGTTCTTTGAGGGCAAGGATTGTCTTGATCTTGTATCTGTAGCCCTAGTACTTAACACAGTGCCTGGCATATTATAAGCCGTTAGTAAATACTTTTTCATTCATTCATTTCATGGCACATAGAAAGAAGAGAAATAGCAAAATTCCTATCTTTAGGGAGCTTAAAATTGAAAACTATCTAGTGGTGTAGTAAATAAAAACCCTCTATCAACTAATTAGTCCTAACCCCAAGCAATCCAATGACTCTATAGTTTCATCCAGTAATGGTTACTATATTCAAGAGTTGGACTGAGTAATGGGCATTAGAAATGCCCATTCCTAGAGCCATCTAGTTGGTAAATGTTAGATGATGGTACTTTTGCTGAATTTATCAGGTGGGCAAAATAAAAAGGGTATCCCAGAAGGGCTCACAGCATTCTAGAATGTTACCTAGGCCTAGCCTTATCTTTGAACTGAAAGTACCCTCTTTTCTCTGGTCAGAAAACAAAACAAAACAACCCCCCCCCAAAAAAAAAACAACCCCCAAACCAAAAAAACCAAGGCCTATCATCAAACCAAAACAAAGTTTTCAAAAACAGGTCTTAAGGTTTTCTGGCTTGGTACTAGAACTTTGCGTCAGCAAAATCCAAGACTGGCTCTCTTTAGTGTGGGAAAAATGTTACTTATAGACTTCTGTAATGATTAAATTTATTCATGCCACACTTATTTAGTAACTTCTGTGAGGAAGCACTGGGTATATAGTGACTTCTCCCAACTAAAGAAAGTGTTACTGCCACTCTCCAACCAAAGGGGTGAGGCCTACAAATCTGGAACAGAGATTGTTGTAAACATAAACATATCATCTTTCTGCATTCATTTATTATAGGAAGAAAGAAAAACATCATGTCAGGTAGAGGAATCACATCTTTTTAATATTGGATGCTGGCTATATCTACAGAGCACTGACACAACCAGTTAGAAAAGAAAATTAGCCAGTCAGTCATTTGGTCTAAATGATGACAAATAACTAGTTTAACCTACTATTTCACCATACTGACTGGTTACTTCACTGGCCCTTCCCACCTCCACCTCCTTTCTAAGCCATCACTTTTCTGATCCCCCAAATCAAAAGAAAATTACAGGGCAGGAAAAATTTCTTCAATTTCAAAATACACCTCATAGGTTTGGAACAAACCTTTAGAGCAGACTCTTTTAAGGTGATGACATTGGCAAAAAGAAAAATACCCCTCCCCTCAAACTTCCCTTTCTAATGTGTAGTGAAAACATTAAGCTTTTGAAACTCCAGCAAGGCTTCATTTATTGAATTCATGGAAAATTTAAATCATTGAATATCATAAAAGAATACTTTGTGTACATTTTAGTACATATAGGCATTCAAAGTAAATGGTAACAAAGTCGTGGTCCCAAGGGGCCCGATTCAATCAGCCCCTCAGTTGTTTGCATGAAAATGGATGCTGTTAAAGTGTTTGAAAACAGATTTTTCTCCAGAATAAGTTAAGCATTTCCTCTCTTTCACTTTACCATGATCTTGTTCACATTTGCTTCACAGACTATGCAGAGGCCAATTTTAGCCCAGCCCTGGTAGAATGACCTCAAATTCTAAATTAGCAAGGTTTCACTGTGTTGGGCACCTTATTTGTTGGGTGCACATGACTGACATAGAACCAGATAGATCTGACAGATCTGGGCATTTTGATTTGCTGCCACCCATCTACATAGCCCTTTGAGGGCAGAGGTCCTGAAACCTTGGTTCTGCCTTACCAGGAGCAATTTCTCAGCAAGCATAGCAATTACATCCCCTGAATATCTGATTATACTGTAGTCACAGTCACCCTAAACAATCAACTCCCTGGTAATGGCACTCAAGGTCATATGGAGGCCACTGAAGCCTCAAGTTGTTTTGTTGATGTATTTTTTAGGAATATGTTTTATTAACATTTATTTACGTTATCCCTCCCTATAGAAGGTAAGGTCCTTGTGGGCAGGGATTTATTATTTTTGTGTTTGTATCCCAGTCCCTGCCAACTAGTACACAGAAGGTATTTATTTACAACATACATGACTGACTGTTGTACTCATCAAGCATTTCTTCTAAGTATATTTTGGAAGGAAATAACTGTGACCCTGTTCAAACATTCAAGTATATCCATCCATCTATTTTTCTCTCTCAAAGGACTAGATTGCCTATAACATAGGAAGAAATACATTTTAGAGCTCTGTGTTGATTGTCAATAGGGAGAGAGACAAAGGCAGACCTGCCGCTTTAGCTATCACCGACATTGTCCAGTCCAAGTATAAAGCCAGAAGTTGATTTCGGACAAATAGCAGTAACCACCTCTGGCATAGTTTTCCTCTAGCAACAATGCAAGAGTTGCCCAAGGAGATGGGGG